CCCCGCGACTCACTGAAATGCTCCTGGATCCTGTTGAGGATGCTCATGCTGTGCTTGCTGTCGACCATGTTCACGGCCAGGCCCCTCTTGCCAAAGCGGCCGGTGCGCCCGATCCGGTGCAGGTAGGTCTCGTTGTCGGGGTTCCCGTCCTTGTCCACGGGGAGATCAAAGTTGATCACGACAGATACCTGCTCCACATCGATACCTGCAGGAAGGGTGGGGTGCGCAGGGGAGTCAGGGCAGGAGGCAAAGTCACCGGCACCCAGCCAGCCACGCACACCCACCCACTCTGGGTGGAAGGGGAGGCCGGGACCCCGCGCTGTGGGCACGAGACGGCACCCACGGGCCTGTGGCAGCGCTCCCCGAGGAGGAAGACGGGCTCCGTCTGGCAGGCGCAACAAGCCCGGGCAATCAGAAAGTCTGGCAGACAGCGGAACACACGGAGCTGGTGCTGCGTGGGGAGCAGGTCCTTTCCCAAGCAGGCAGAGCCTGAGCAGCTCCTCCCGCCAGGCCGGGGCTCCTGGCTTCCCTTCTGCTGGAGCAGAGTCCAGGCTCTCCTAGAAAGAGCGGTCGCCACCGCCCCACACCCCCCAGTGTCCGGCACGCGAAGACTTCTCTCGCCACTGGGGCCCGCGACCTCGAGCCTGGCGGCCAGGGCCGTCTCTGCTCACCTCGGGCGCACACGTTGGTGGTCACCAGCACCTTCTCTTTGCCCTCTCGGAAGCGCTCGATCACGGCGGCCCTCTGCTCCACCATCATCTCGCCGCTCAGCAGCGCCACCTGGTGGCCTTCTTTCGAGAGCTCTGCTGCCAGCCAACTGGCTGTTTTGCGGGTCTGCAGGAAAAAAAGTGTTTTTGAAAAAGCAAAGAACTTCAAAGTACTCTCTGATCTGGAAGATGACCTGAAACTTAGCAGTTAAGGGTTAAATTTCCTAAAATTACCAACCTGATGTGGTGCAATAGAAGTAAGTGCGTCACCTCGGTAATAATTGTACAGAAATGTTTCTACTATAAAGGTATTCAACCTAGTTGGGCATGGCAGTGCACACCTGTAATCTCTTCACTCTTGGCGACTGGGACAGGAAGACTGCAAATTCTAATCTAGCCTGGGCAAGTGAGAGAGATCCTATCTGAAAAAAGCGGCTGGGACCATGAAGTACCCTCACTGGCCCTCTCTTGCCCTGCGGAGTGTCATGTCTTTTCTCTTTCAAGTATATCTTTGGATCTTGCTGCTAAAAAAGAAAACCAAAAAATACTAGGGATGTAGCTCAGTGTGAAGGGCCTTGATTCAGTCCTTGGTATTATAAATAAATGAACAAGCAGGCAAGCATACGGTGGTGTATGCCTGTAATCCCAGTCCTCTGGGAGGCTGAGGCAGGAGAATCACAAATTCAAGCTCACCCTAGGCAACTTAACAACTGTCTCTACAAAAAAACAAAAAAACACAAATGGTCTGGGGATAGCTGACTGGGAAGGCCCTGGCCACAGACAAACAAACAAGTAAGTGCCAGGAAATGTAGCTCAGTGTGAAGATCTTGTGATCAGTCCCCAGCACCAAGCACATTCACAAATAAATAATAAAATTAAATTGAACCTGGATAGATCATAAGGGGGAAAATGGAGGAAATAACACCAGACTCTTAGCTGCACTCTAAGATGGCCATGTTCTAAAAGGCAGTGTGTGTGGGGGGTGTTCCAGACTAAGGGAGTCTCAAGAGACAGCACAGTGACATGCAATGAACAAGCCTGGACTGGCTCATATGTTTACCACAACAAAAAGCATGAGAAACATCCTTCCATGTGCAAAAAAGTAGTCAGTGGACTGTGTTTCAGGCAATGACAAAGCTGGGCACGGTAGTACATGGCCATCATACCAGCTACCTAGAAGGCTGAGGCAGGAAGATGGCAAGTCCAGCAATTTAGCAAGACCCTATCTTACCAAATAAAAAGGGTTAGGAACGTAGCTTAGTTGTAGAGCATCCCTAGTTTCCATCCCCAGCACTTGGGAAGAAAACTGGAGATCGTTCCTCTATCATCGTGAAGGGTATGAAGATGGCACTGTGGCCATGTGGGAAAAGCTCTCGTAAGGGTTAGGTGTTTACATGTTTACAACTAACTCCACAAGGACGGAGCAAAAATAACTTCTACACATGTGGCATATGGGATAACTGCAGCAGAAGTGGCCAAATGCTGACAAGCAGAAGACTTACGTCTTTTTTTCTACCTGTTTTGTGAGTTTGACTGTTTTAACCTGAAGTTGAGAGACTTTTTACTTTAAAAAACAAAAAGACCCTAAAAATCACAGGAACAAGTCTTGCACCAACATGGGGTGACCTGTCTTATTCCTTAACACTATTCTACTGGCTGTGGTGGTCCACGCCACTAATCACAGCACTTGGAAGGTGGTGAGGCAGGAGGATCGCTTTGAGTCCAAGGCCAGCTTTGGCCACATAGTGAGACTTTGTCTCAAAAAACAAACAGCCCAGGTATGATGGTGTAAATCTATAAGCACTTGGGAGCCTGAGGCAGGAGGATCGCCTCAAGTTTGAGGCCAGCCTAGGCTAGTGAGTTCAAGACCAGCCTGAATTACATGTGAGACCTTCTCTCAAAAGAGCAATTGCTATATATAGTATATATTTTATATATGTTCAGATTTGCTTTTGCTATTATAAAAAAGATCTATTTTCTAAGTGTTTCCTGTTTCAGATTGGTAAACTATATATATTAATTTAATAACCATCTTACTAAATTTATTTCCTGAAATAGCAGATTCTCTTGGGTTTTACAGTAACACCACCACCTACCAATAAGGTATGCAGTTCAGGAAGCTTTATGTTTAGGCTAGGTATTTCTCAGAATGCTGCTAGTACAGAGCCAGGCGTAGTGGTGCACACCTGTAATCCAACCACTTGGGAAGCGGAGGTAGGAGGACTGCAGGAAGTTCAAGGCCAACCTGGGCTACAAAGCAAGACCCTAGCACAAGAGAAACCACTGTCATAAGAAAATGCTAGTAATACGGACTGTCCCTTTACAAACCACTTCCGTTCTCCCTACACAGTGGAATCTGGTGGGTGGGGCTGGCCGGGAGGGCATGGGCAGCCCCCGCAGGCCCAGCTGCTACTCACATGGCAGAAAATCATGGCCTGAGCGATGGTGATGGCCCCATAGAGGTTGCACAAGGCCTGGAACTTCTCGTCTCTGTTGTTGCACAGCACGTAGTACTGCTTGATGGTGTCCAGCGTCTCCTCCTCGCGCTTCAGCTTGATGATGTTGGGGTCTGGGACCACTTTCTGGGCAAACTTCCACACAGAGTCCTCGAAGGTGGCAGAGAACAGCAGCATCTGGCAGTTCCTGGGCAGCATCCTGCAAGGAGGACATCCTGCGGGTGTCACCGCAAGGAGCAGAAGCCCGGTCCCCCGGCTCCGATGGGCTCTAACCACACCAGGCCTAAGGGGCCCAAGAAGCCGGGTGGGGGAGGAGCGGCAGACCCAGGAGGCACAGGGCAGTACCGGGTCCCAGGACTCCTGTCACAGCCCAGGCTGGGAGTCCCGTCAGTGCTGATGTAGAAGGGACCCACAAACCAACGCTGCTGCTGGCCCAGAGGACAGAGACCCCCAGACGCAAGAGCAGGCCCTGGAAGCTCCTCCCGGCCCCGGCCCGAGCGCCTACCTCTGGATGCGGATGCTCTGATCCTGGTGGCCCTGCGTAGCTATCATCACGTCGGCTTCATCCAGCACGAACACCTTGATCTTCTTGGGGTCAATGAACTTGAGCTTGGAGCACCAGTCCAGGACGGTCCCAGGGGTGCCAATGACAATCTGCTCGCTGATCTTCTGACCTCTTTCCACTGTGGAGATGAGATGTTTGCTGCGGGTGTTTCCAAGGCAAAGCCAGCTCTGGGAATCAAAGCCTGGCCTGTACTTCTAGGACTAGCAGAACAAGCTAATACCAGATTTCAAACTATGGAAGTTCTACCCTCAAGCCCTCCCTGCCTTCTTCAACTGTGATGTGGGTAGAAAGACACCTGTCTCAGTGACCTGTGGTCAGCATCAAATTCCACACAGAGGACCCTCAGCAGGTGTCACTTCCCTTATACTCTCTCCTATAATTTCACATCACACAAGTCTCCCAGGATCTTGGCACAGTGATTTTTTTTGCTCTGGTCTCTAGTGATTCCACTTATGTTGGCTGGTTTTTGTAAGTACAACTCTCTGTTTAAAAAATACTACAGTACTCTCAAACTTGTTTCAACCAGACTGCTGGGTTACACCTCAAAAAAAAAAAAAAAAAAGGAGGAAACGTAAAAAGATGTCTTTTTTTTTTTTTTTGGTTTTTCTCCGGTACCGGGAACCGAACTCACGACCTTGCACTTGCCAGGCAGGCGCTTTTTCCGCTGAGCTAAATCCCCAGCCCCAAAAAGATGTCTTATGTACATGTACCAACTCCCCAAGGTGAAAGTTTTCATTATGTACTGCTCACATGTACTAATAAAAATTTAAAAATTTGAAAGTATTAATATCACCATCATACTCATAAGAGATGTTTATACACATGGAGAAACTCACTCTTGACAGCAGCATTTGCCAAGTCTGACGTACATACTACATTACTGTCAAACTCTCAAGCTGGATTAAGTTGAAACTGATACAACCATTTATCAAAATTACTATTGCACATGACCTCTGAACAATGCTTCCACTATCAGAAATTTTTCGATGTACCCAAAATATGCACACACAAGTAACTGATCTGCAAAATACAATGCACCTAATGGATAACACCAATAAAGTATGAAAACAATAATCTCAAAAAAATATACATAGCACAATGGTATATATATATAGCATGTATATACAGACAGATACACATATAATTAACAGAGTAACAGCACTCCTGGGTTCAAACCCCCATGTAACAAAAAGGCAGTTTCCCAGCGCCCATTGCCTGTCCGTAAGATCAAATGGCTCACAAACGCTAAGCTAAATGCAGTGACTATGTTAGCTCCTCACACAAAATGAAAGCCGTGGCAGAAAACAATCCAGGGCAGGCACGCACTTCTGTACACTTCACTTGTGCATTTAGGCCTACCGGTTTGAGAACACCCAACTTCATAATTTCTGTTCTTTTTTTTTCTTTGTCTTTTTGAGACAGGGTCTCGCTATGAAGTTCAGGCTGGCCTTGAGCTCACTTTGTAGCCCAGGGTGGCCTCAAACTCACAGTGATCCTCCTGCCTCAGCCTCCCGAGTGCTGCGATTACAGGAGTGCACCACCACGCCTGGCACAATTTCTGGATAGGATGTTTTTGCTACATTTGCCAAAATGCAGTGACTTTTCAGAAAAAGCCTATTTTTATTATTTGTATGGTGGCCTCCTGAGGGCTGGGATTACAGGCGTGCGCCACCATGCCTGGCACAATTTCTAGATAGGATGCTTTTGTTACATTTGCCAAAATGCAGTGACTTTTCAGAAAAAGCCTATTTTTATTACTTATATGGTGAAATAAACTATCCATTTTTGTTTGTAAACTGATAGGCAAACTATAGATATTCCAGTTGAGAATTAGATATATGCTTTTTTAAAATCATCAGAGAAAGCTTGGGAATGGGAGAAAAAAGCTGTCTCTTCAATGAAAAAAAAAATCAACTACATTTGTTATCATTATAACACCTGAGCTATCAAGAGAAAAAAACCTGAATTTTGTAAAAGTTGTAAGTGCTTTCAGGAGAGTCTCCCCAGGTATGTAAACTTGAATTTGGTTGTGGTATTAACACCTGCAATTCAGTTTTTCTTGTTTGTTTATTGAAAGTCTCACCATGTAATCCACAATGGCCTTAAACTCACTGTAGAGCCCAGGCTGGCCTCTAATTCATAATACTCTCCCTGCCTAAGCCTCCTCAATGCGGTGATTACATGTATGCGCCACTATCTATGGGCAACTACCTTAATTACCATTTGTTTAGTCTGGGTATAGCATTCATAAAGACGTATCATCATTTTTTGTTTGACATATTATTATTTTTATTCATTTTGTTTGCTACGTAGTCCAGGCTGGCCTTGAACTTGCACCGATCCTCCTGTCTTAACCTGCTGAGTGCATCGGCCACTATGCCTGGCTATTACTTATTGATTGACTGATTTTTTTTTTGTTTTTGTTTTTCTCCGGTACCGGGAATTGAACTCACGACCTTGTGCTTGCCAGGCAGGCACTGTGCCGCTGAGCTAAATCCCCAGCCCCTCTGGCTATTATTTATATTAACGTGAGTTATACATACTAGGCAAAGACTCTACCATTGAGTTTCATTATTTTTAAATTACTAAATGTGACTTCTAAAGTTTCTCAGGTTCTGTTTTTGTATCTACTGTGACAAACAGCAACAGGCACAATCTGCGTAACAGAAACAAAATGAGAAAATGCTGAGGCCCTAAAGCAAAGACTGCACTCTGGACCATGAGGGCTATGTCCGTCACGAGGGTGTCCCTCTTGGGTTCCTGTAGGCAAAGCCCAACTGTGGTCAACAAGCACGCACCGCATTCCTGACTTGCTGGCACTGACCACGATCAGACATTGGCTTCTGCCCAGCTGAGCAGGGCTGGGTTTCCACTTCTGGACTTCCCCAAAAACCCATGAGGTGCAGCATGTTTTTGTGATACTCAGTAGCCATCTGAATTTCTTCCATGAAGAGCTGGTTTAAGTGAGGCTCTTTTTTTCATTTTCCTAGGAGACTGCTTGGTTTTTCTTGACACGTGGAAGATTTTTTAATACTGATAACCTTCTAATGAATCTTCAAAACCTCTTCTCCCTTCATTGTAACCCATCCTTTCTACATGACCCTCTGTAGAACACATGGAAGAAAGAATTGGAGAGATTTTTTTATTTTGATTACAGCCAGTGAGCTGTACATTCTGCATTTCTTTTTCTTTTTAACTTTTTTTATACTAAAGGGTAAAAAAAAAACACTAAAATTTCAAAGCAAAATAGGCAGGTAACAATGGTTAATACATTGTATATTGTTAC